AATAGATTCTCGTCCGCATTGCGGAGCGAAATGCAGGGCGCAAGATGCGAGAATGCGAAGTCGCTTTTATGAGATAGTAGAGCAATACACGCTGTAATCCCGAAGTTAAAGCAACGCGACGTTTAGGCGAACGTTGCATTGCCACTCTTCAAGCAATCTTCGAATCGCTCTCGAACGAGTGAATGACGATGAGAAAGAAAGAGAAAGAGAAAAAAAAATGAAAGATATATATATATATATATATATATATATATATATATATAGAGAGAGAGAGAGAGAGAGAGAGAGAGAAGGAAAAAGAGAAAGAAGAAAAGAGAAAAAAAAAGAAATAGGGAAAAGGAAGAGAAGCTCGAGACAGCCGATCCGAGCGATTCGATTCTTCTGATACTCATGAACGATAAGCATCGACGGCTACGAATGTTTTGTCACACCATGCGCTAAATGTAAAAAATATCTATACTATCGGGACACAGCAAACACTGAAAATATTGGTTTTGTGGATGAGGACAGAGGGATCCATATCACAGAGACAGAGAGAAAGAGAGAGAAAGAGAGAGGAGAGTCAAAGAGTAGAAAGAGCAAAAAAGAAAGAGAAAGAAAGAGTGAAAGAAAGATAGAGATAAGTTGTAGAGGAGACTTGCATATTTTATTCCCTGCCGAACGCTTTCGTGCGATGCTAAACTGTCGGAACTGCTCGAAAAAAGACGGAAACTTCGGAGGAAGGAAAACAGAATCGCGAGAACTCGCGAAAAAAAGAGAAAGATAAAGAGGAAAAGAGAAAAAAAACCGAAAGAAAAAGAAACAGAGATAGAAGATAGAAGTAGAAAGACAGAAAGAGAAAGAGAGAGAGAGCCATCATCATATTCGCGTATGCGGTCAGCATTTCTTTTTTACTCCCCAAAGGACCGGCTTAGCGAAGAAGATGGCAAGAGAGGCTCGATGTAATGTTTTACACCGAGTGACCGAGTGGAAATGAATATGTTGGTATTTTCCGGGTGGAGATGACGACGTCGGCCGTTGCGAGACATTCGCTAATGGGTCTCCACATCGCAGCGCGCAACGGTGAACAAAGATCTTTGTGCGAAAGTTGAAAATTGGCGGTTCGTGTCGCAACGCGATTGATCGCTGCGGTTTGATTGCGATAGCGAAATACGATTAAAAGCAGGTCGAAATGAAGAAGTGGTTTCAATGGGGGAGATAAAATGATTTAATTTGAAATTGAAGAAAACGTGTTTCTATGGAATTAAGTGCCTTGCCTTCTAAATCAAGATTAGTCCCAAGACTAGGCGTTTTATACACGACGATAAACTGATACACTTAATTCTGGACAAATAATACTTTTTAGCATTATTTATACCAAAGTGATCTCTGACGTGTGCTAGTATCATTTAAGTAGCACTAAGAATATCTAGCACTGTTATCTTTTTGTATATAAGTATATGTATACAACTATTAACATTCATGAATTTATTTTTAACTGAGCACTCCGGTGCTATCCAGTCGTCTTCGGATTTCGTTTCTTTCTTTAAATGACGGGTGATGGATCATTTCTTTGTCGGTGTTAAGATATACATCACCCAAATGATAGGTTTCGTAAGATATGTGTCGTACGAACGTACTGTTGTACAACATACGTGAAGAAGGTAAAGGCAATCGATTGGTTTCTGTCTGGTGGAAAGGTTTACATCAGATTTCGTACTGTCAATGATGGTGATGCGGAATAAGCGAGCGGTAGCCGAGGAACAAGGTAAATGGAGCTGCGGATCTGTTTCTAATCTTTTCCTAATCGAACGATCGAAGACAGCGGAAGGTATTCGCGATATTTGACAATAATTCATCTTCCAAATTCTGTTCAAGTTCTCAAATTATAGGTTGCGCAGAAAGAAAACGTGTAATTTTGAATTAGCATTACACAATCTTGAAGTTGCATTTATTGATATCAGAATATCATGAATTTGTGAAATAGTAACGTAAAACTCGACAAAATTTTGCAACTACGCGTTACCTATTTTTATTTGCTATTTATTTGCTGTAGACAATTCGATTTATAAATAAGCAAATTTTTATATCGTATTTTTTAATAGATATATAGAATTGAATTTATAAAATTCCATGTCCGAGTTCTCGATGTCAACATCAAAAGCGCAAATGTTGCAAAACTTTGAAATGTGTTATTATTAATTACATAGCTATTTACATTATTCGGTAATTAATAAATTTCTTATTATTAATTTTGCGTAAATCGTATGTGCCAATTTCCGCTGATAAATATATTTCCGCTGATTCGAAAACCGCCTTGTCTGTCTGACTATGCCGTCATTGTTCTACTTACGGATTTAAAACAGATGAAATAATCCTAAAATTTCAATCAATCGTAATGATCGTTTTACTTAGTTAATAATATTTACATACAGTTTATTGATACCTATTTAAAAATTTGTAGTTTTAATACGCTGACTTTTTAATTTAATGAATTAACGACTGATACAAATAAATTCAAGCTTTACAAAATTAAAGATTAATGGATATCTTTAATAAAATTCAATTGTAAATTCAATTATTAATTATTTATATTTTATTGTTGATGAACTTTATTGCTGGTGACAGCAGAATATACACGTATTAAAAATTTTATGATTTCTCGACATTTTAACATGAGAATACGCTAGGATGATTCATATATTTATAATTATTGCGATGACACACACCCAAAATTCAATTTCAATAATCAGGCATAGTCAGATGGACGTTAAAACGATGATTTTCGATGATTTCGCACATTGCAGCGATTTATGTATGTGTATCAATGCTACTTGATCGGCGCGTCACAAGTGTACGCGTTAAAATAAACATTATCGTACGTATATACAATATGACATATGATATATGTATACGCAAAAAGAAAGGCCATATATTTATTACGTATATATGTTGTGATTATAAGAGACATATTTTATATATTACCAGAAACAAAATTCTATATCACTCGTTGCATGCGCTTGTTAGCATAATGAGGATACGGGGTAAGCGGTGGCTGGATAGTAGAGAAATACACGTCTTTTTGCAAAATACCATACCGACTTACTTATGTGGGACAAGAAAGATCTACGAAGCGTGGAGAGTGGTCTCATCGACGCTCTACTTTGTCGACAGGTAGCAGATTGCAATATTGCCGTCGTGTGAGACAGTGTTCGGTGAACGAGTTCGCAGAGGTGAATAAGAAGCTGCGATGGGCACAATCGTGTTCCGTAAGCTATTTGTCAGTTGATACTCTCATTACACGTTCTTACATTATACTTGTAAATGAAAATCTGTCAATACATTGAAAAGTTAGCTTACAATTTTCATCGTTGTTTTAATAATTATTCGATAAATAATGTTATATTTTATATGGAACTTTAGTACTTACAGCAATGTACGTTTATAAAAATATGGAAATTCCAGAAGCAATGCCTCATTTTCCAGTAGATGGTTTTTTAAGGATTAAGTCTGGTGTAATCAAATATATTAAAAGTTAATATTTTATGTAAATAAATATAAAGTAAGAATTTCTGCGATTATTATTATGTATTAAAATCATAAGAAGATATTAAATATCATTTAAAATATTATAAAACTATTAATTATAAAAAATTACAGTATTTTATACAATAGAAATGTTTAAAATACATCATAGAAATATCTTAAAGATATCGTGATATTTTTAGCATATCTCTGTGATATATTTTAAACATTTTTGCTGTATAAGATATAATATTTATTATATTAAAAGGAAATATTTTATTAATTTCTTGGCTTAAACTTTAAACTTTCAAATTTTATTTTTAATTTTATTTTTCATTAATTATATATAATAAAGTAATAAATAATAAAGTAACTTGCTAAATAAATAAATATATATATATATAAAATTGAATTAAATATATTTAATATTTATCTTGTTTTTATTATATAATTTTATTATATAAAAAAGCAATGGAAAATTATTTAAATATATGCACATTTATTATACAGAATGTCCTGTTAAAAACATAAAGCGAATACAAACATGATATATAATATTTGGAATTTATCTCTCATTTTTAATGCATAGAATTAAAAACTAAAATTTTAAAGGAAAATAAATTAATTGAGTTTATTTAAATTATTTTCCAGGTAATTGTATTTAATAATTTTCTACTAATAAATACATTCCACATCGTGAAAAGTGCATTGCATCCCTCCTGGAACACATTGCGCCTATAATTGAGTTGTTAAATTTGACGTGCCCATCTCCTAACGAAAGCGAATATCTCGATCATCACACGGATCATAGTGTGCGTGTGCCGTGCCACTCGCGACAAAGTGTGCCACACGACAAGATGTGCACGCAACGAGAAGGAGGGATTGTATGCATGTAGGAAGCCAGGATTTCTCGTTTTCTACATTCGATCGCGTCGGAAGACGCGATCCTCTCGAACATTTCTCGTGACACAGGACGATTTGTCGAAGTACGCGTCGTCCGTCCAATCGTATATCTCGATAACGCGTATGGAGAGAGAGATTGTTGAAAATAAGACGAGGACTCAAGAAATTTCTCTCGTCCGAGATCGCCCCAAGACTCTAATCGAGAATTAGCGATTCACAGATTCCCGTGACGAACCCCCATCTTCTCGCGATATCTTATCGGTTCTTCTTTTCCTTCTTCCTCGAGGGAGAGGAGGCCGAGACGGAAAAACGTGGATACGAATGTTCAAGCGTGACACTAGGATTGATCGAGGAGATCTCGAGGGGATATCTCATGCAACGGGTGGCGCGATACTTTTCGGTATCGGGAAGAGGTGCGTTTCACGGGGACCGCGACGGCGAAGAAAAAATTGGAGCAGAAGATTGTTGGGAAAATTGGGTCTTGATAGAAGGTAGAGATAGATTGAGAGAGATAGAGAGAAAAAGAGAGAAAGAGAGAGATAGAGAAGAGAGCGAGCGAGCGAGCGAGCGAGCGGGGCCAATGGAGCGGTTACCTTGGAATGCTGTGCCGTCGTTGGTGTTATAGGCGGCGTGTCTTCGGCATCTACGCTCGCTGCGTTTGGTAATCGCTGCTCTTGCACCGACGCCAAGCTAAGCGAGAGGGAAGAAACCGAGTTTCGTCAGTAGTGAGAAAGTTCTGATGCTATTGTCCTATTTTATTTTTTTATCTTATTTATTCTACTTTATTTATTTCTTAGAATTTGCTATATGTCAATTGATAGTCGTAGAAAGAATACACGTTAAATTCTAATGGTTAAAGATAAAAATTTATAAAATGTCTACTTTGAAATAATTCGATCTGCGTTTGATATCAGTTGATCTTACTACAGTAAATACAAAATTTTCATATTTGTAAACTCCGAAAAATTTGAGAAATTCTATTGTATTCTTACTGAGTTAGAATTGACGACAGTGCATTACGATAAAATAAAAAGCCATACCGTTTGAGCGTCACGAGTGTGCCGGTGAGTTTCTTGCAACGTTTCAACGCAGACTCCAGTCGATCGGGTTGTCCCTTCAGGAACTTCTGCTCGCGCTCCACGTTTTCTACCTCGGAGCTTAGTAGACTCTTTATACCCTCTTGCAAACTCGGGAACCGTACTTTTAGGTCGGCCACAGTTTTGCTAGAAGACAAAAATATTCCGCATCATTCATTATCTCGTAGTTTTCTTACATCTTAAATGTTGTTTATTTTATCTTAAATCATCCATTGTTAAATGTACAAATGATTTGTAAATCTACCAACGCATTTAACATCAAGTGTGCGATGACCACGCTCTCTGCTCATGTTGAATCGAACGCATGCATGGCTTACCTGGATTTACTCAATATCAAAGCCATGTTCTCCACATCCGACATATTGACACGCGTCTTTTTAGTGATCACATTACCGCGAAGTTCCTCCACGGTGCTCTCGAGCTCGCTGAAATTCGCAAACATTTCGTTTATGTTTCTTTACACAATGCATCTTTTAGCGTTGCCTTTTTAGAAGGATACGGCAATACTCACGTGAGATCTTTTTCCAGCCTTATCATCTCTTGCTTGTAGAGGTCTTCCTCGCGGCTCACTCGCATCTTCTCTGTATCTCCAGCCGTCCAAGCTGCGTCTCCTCCAGATAACAGCATAGCCCTGTGACAACAATCGATAGAATTGTTTATTGATCAGCGTGTTACCTTTATTATATATTATAATAAATATTTATAAATTATTATAATATTATAAATATATAAATATTATATTATAATTTTTGAAAATATGTTTTAATTTTATTATATGTTATTTAAAAATTCTTAGTATGTGTCTTTATGTGTAATATTATTAATCCATTTCTAAAAAAAGGCATTAAGTCAATACTTGAATGTATCGAAGTTATTGTTGTCGTTTTTCCGCGATACCAATTGATTTTCTCATTGCGCTTACTTCGTGAGCAGCTGTCATCGCGAAGATCGTTTTGACAATTGTGTTGTAACAAGCGATTAATAGTGTAACAATATTATAATTATATAATTTTTACTCCTTTCGTTCAAAGAAAAATGTTTTATATAAAAGTTGTGAAACCAAAAACAGGAGGAGGCCACATGATTGGGATATTGAGTTATTTGCAGGTGATATCACCTGTCGAGATTTTTTTATGATCGTCATTTTTTAAATGGAATTATATATTTTTTATTACGCAGTATGACTCCTCTATTTATTTTGGATAAAAAAGTATTAAGATACAAATATCAAAAAATCAATAATTTACGAGATATTTTATATTTTATTCTGACATATTCCGATATTCTGTATATACATATGATGTATGTCATGATAAGAACATATGTATTTAACATAAACATTTGCGGAACGCAAAATGAAGAAGATTGGTCTTTGTCCCATGTCTCTACGTCTATTTTTTGAGAAGTTATAGCCTTTTAAAAATCCACAGGTGCGCCTCATAAAAAAAAACCGTGAAAAAACGCCGCGCGCGCGTTTTTTCGATGTTCACAACTTTTTGCTTCCTCAAAAAAGTGTGAAAACACGTGTAGTACAAGCCCTTTGAAATACAATCGCCGCCGCCGTGAAAACATACGCGTACACCATCTATCGGATAGATACGAATAGATCATGATTGCGGTCGATATTGTCAATATCTTCTTAACAGCTCTTAACTTATTGTGTCATTTTTGCTCGTTTAAAAAAATAAATAGCACGTACGCAGCGCGCGCTGTAGCGTCTAGTGTTTATAAAAATTGACACACTGACTTGCATATTTTTTATTTATTATATTCGTATCTTTATATATAACACATAATACCTAATAATACCTAATAATAATAAATAGTACAGAGGCTCTAATAAGTAAATCAAAAAAAGGAAAAAGGGGTGCCTATACTGAAACATAATATCTACACACACACACACACACACACACACACACACACACACACACACACACACACACACACACACACACACACACACACACACACACACACACACACACACACACACACACACACACACACACACACACACACACACACACACTCATATTCTTCTAATATAATATATAAACAATAAAATCTTTTGCTATGTTCCTTTTTCTTACTTTTCTATTTATCTTAAGATTTCTTTCTTCTATAAAATTTGTTAAACATATTTTTATATTTATATTGGAATTTTTAGATACTGATTTCTTCGTTACATTCATACCTAATCGTTATGAAGGTGTCTCTAATAGTCTCGCGCACCGTGTGAGCCTGTGCCTGTGACATGCGCCTAAGATTTCTCACTTCCTGCCTGAGATCCTTCGCCTTCTTCTGCAGACCCCTCAGTTGGTTGTACATTTCCGGTGTAAGCGCCAGATCCCTGTACACGTATTGACCGGCCACCAACGCGGCTGGTTTCGGCGGTGGTGTTGGCTTGTGCCTGTCTCTCTCTGCAATCGTTCAGTCGACATGTAAGACCGCGTGTTTCCGATGTAACTCCTCATAATTTGCGCGAACATTTAAAGGATTTAAGCGCGCACGGCCCCGCCCCTCCTTCCGTGCAAAGAGCGTCTTTAGATTCAGAATGGCGAACGATAATATGGAAAAATCCTATTCTGAAAACTGCATGTACAAGTCAAATCGCATCATGAATACTATAAAAAATATTAAACAATTAAAAGTGGATAAAAGTGAGATAAATTATCGTACATTTTATTTCATCAAATCTTCAGTTTCCAGATACATTAATTAACTATGAAATTGTTAATCAAAATGATCATTTATTCCCATATTTCTCTCTTTAACTAGACGTCCCGGAACATTCCGCGCTTCGTCTAGCAGAGTTTAAAAGATGAAACGCAGCTGATTACCATGACAGATTCGAGTGCTTGGACGGTTCCTCAATCAGCTGATTGGATTTGACGTTCGTCACTCGTGTCATTAATCGACGCCTCGTCGTAACGATTTCGCACGACAGAAGAGCGGGGCCTGGTAATGAGAGGACAGGAACGGTTAAACGGGTCGGCGACACAACACAATTTTACTGTCACTTTTATTGCCGCAGTTTTATTGGACGGATGACGAAAGGCACGACAGGAGCGGAAGAAGGAGACAACAGATGACCTAATTGGCCGATTGAAAATATCGTTGGTGTTCCAAGCGGAAGGACCGTGTGTGCGAGAGTTGTATCGTCTGCGTGTGACACATACACCCTTTGTGGTACGTGACATATTTCGCTGTGTGCTGTGCACAAACGTTTCTCTGCAATAACATAATTATCTCTACGGATGCAGGCGCTGGTTTGCCGATTGCGATGATATTTTCACCGACAATAAACTCGAGTTTCACGAACGCGCTACGACCGAAAATTAATTTCCTTGCGCTCAACGTACGCGCGTTTTAATCGAATTTACCTCGACAATATCACATGTTGAGCACAAACGTTGAGCTGCACAAATTTCCACGTGTACGACAAATGTAGAACAGACATAGGTTTCTATGACGAAGATGTAGCACCTTTGTTTTCTTATCATACAATAACGATATTTTTGATAAATGTTTTTTTTATCAATAAAACTGTGTAATATTCTGGTTTTTACACATGGCTTTTACACATATTTATAGAACAGGGTTGGAAAAGTAACATTACTTGTGTCGTTACCGTTATCGTTATTTTTTTCGATAGCGAACTGATGATGGCATTATTTTTTTTTAGCAACTGTAATGATAGTTACATTCTTTCAATTAAAACTGTAATGTTAATGAATTTAACAGTTATTTTTTTCATTACTTTTCATGTTTTGAATCTATCTATAACTTATAATTTTTGTATATTCAATATTTAATCTTTAATTGATATTCATAGTCTGTTGTTATATTTAAGATTGTCTTAAGAATAATTTATCATAAATCAATCATAAAGCCGCATTAGAATAGACTTTATAAATATCGCCCTTTAAAAATTTGTAGAATTGAGAATAGGAAGAAATATAAATTTGGTTATATTTAATGAATTTAATGAAAAGCATAATCTTTTTATTTTAATATTTTAAAAACTTCTTATAGTCTTGCGAATTTAAAGAAACAAGTTTTATTGCTTTTATATTGATAGTTGATAGAAAATATTGATAGAAAAGCAAATTTTTTTTATTTAATCTGATCTCGTATTAGCATTAAAAAGTAATTAATCGTTTCAAGTAATGATAACAAGTTACTTCTATAAAAAAATAATTTTTCCAACCCCCGTTGTAAGATGGAAATCGATTCACATCTTTTATGACAAAGAGCGCGAAAAGAGTGAATTAATAATCTTGAATTAATAATCCTTTTTAATTGGCGTGCTGACTGGGTGCATCTACTTTACGCGAAGCCAAGAAAAAAAGATCCGCGTCGCGGTTTTACGAGGCGGGCGATCCGTGAGACAGTCCCAAATGAACCGATCCCATGATAAGAGACATTGCGCGTCCCCGCGGACAAATAAAAGTGCGGTCTGAACAAGATGAATAAAGGAGAAATTTACGAGCAGGAAGGGCAGGACGGGAAGGGATGGACGGTAAGAGGGATGTATCGTGATGTTTCCGAGTGATCGGCGGCGACAGATATGCTGCCGTGACATATCGCTCGGTCTGGAGAACAGAGGAAAAGAGAGAGAGAGGAACGAAGGAGAAAGAAGGAAGAATGAGATGCGCGCAGCACGCGAGCGTCGAATGCAACGCGAAGAAATGTATTTGTCGCAAGTGTCCCGTAAAATAGTATAAACACATGAATTGCCTCCTGTCTCGTGCACGGATGTCCATGCGGCCGCGCGAAACGTTCGTCAACGCGATGATATATGAAGGGCACATAGAAAAGGGCAAGATTGTCCCTTCGTCGAACAGATACAGCTTGAAATGATGTTTCAAAATAAGAGAGAAAGAAAGAGAGAGAGAGAGAGAGAGAGAGAGAGAGATATGCCTGGTGAGAGAGACATGAATTTCTCGCTCAAATATGAGATGTCTTGCGAGTAATCTCGAAGAGAGAAAAATTGGAGGGAATTTCCGTCCATCGAAATAAGTACTGAATGTGACTGATATGAATGTGAAATGGTTTTTCAAAGTAACTTTTGCGAGATGTGCTTTTCCCACGCTGAGTTTTACATAAAAACATACGGACGTTCCATACGTATACGGATTTGATTTAGTTTGGTTATTTTCTGCTTCGCCTAGAATTGGACCAGTAGTCGCCTTTCCTCGCATACAGCATACTTTGAAAATCGATTTACATGGAAATGAGCACATTAATTCGTTTAAAATCCAGCAACGTCGACGTGCAACAGCGCTCGTCTTAGCTTTTTATGGGAGAGTGGACTTACAATTTTCCGGTGCCCTCCATACAGTGTCGTCCCAGAAGGCGAGGAACGAATGAAAATAAAATGGAAGAAAATAGTTCGAAACGACCGAACGGCGGAAGATTGTATCAAAGAACGACGCTCATTATGAACAACATATAAATATGGTAGACACAGCGTAACACATAGGGGAGAAGCATAGACATAGGAATGGAACTATTCGGTTAACGTAATAAAATTTGATTATTTCGATCATCTTGACAAATTATATATATATTGTAATCTTTGAATAAATAATCTGAAATATTTAAATATCAAATGAAGCTATGAGAGTATTCAATAATGAGACATCTCAGAATTTTCCGATAAAGTATGAAGTAGATTATTTTATATAAAATTATTTCTTTATTTCACATCGTATTAAAATAACGTAATAGTTTTAAAAGATATATCTAAATATTTTTTTATAAAAAAAGTTAAAATTTTAACAGAAAAATACTATAAATGAGATGAATAAGAATATTTTTGAAGAAATTTTGAAGAGATACTTCTAAGTGATATCACTGAGCTCTGTTTTATTTCTTTTGAAGATATTGAATACTTGAAATAAAGTACCGCCGATTAGTTCCACCGCTAACAGAAAGACGGGGATGTTTTACCTTGCGACGACATCCTCGGCAACGTGGAGGATTTGATTGCCGGTTTCGTGGGTTTTGTGTCCGCTAGTTGTGGTAGGCATTGCAGAATCGAACACGAGAAGGCGTTAGAGATTATTGCGTTAGTATTCGCGTCGGGATAATTTTTTCATAGATTTTCATTTTTATTTTTGTGAAACCCTCTTATGATTAAAAATCAATCTTCTTACCACTAATACTCACTGAATACTGAATATGATATTCATTATTTAATAATCAGGAAGTGGTGAAAACGAATTATCGCATTTTAAATATAGGAACTAATTTCTAATTATTCATCAATTATAATTATGGGCATAATATCAATGATATTATACAATTCGCTGGACGAAATAATGACATGAATTAAAAATTGACATTTATCATATCTTATATATATAAAATATTTTAAATTAATTTTTGTTCTTTCTTTTCGTAAAATTAGAAAAATTGAAACAATATGTTTATATAATTTATTTATATTATTTTTGTTAAATTTACAAAAATAATATAAATGAGAAAGTTAATTATTACATTATTTCGTTCAACAGAAATATAGGTAAAACAAATATACGCACTACCAATCGTAACAATTGTTATAAAAACCCATTTGTATTATTTAAAAAAAAAACTTTTGTTAGCATTCGAAAATCAATATTGGAAAAGACACAAAAGAAAATATGTCATAATTTATCTCATTCATTGCCGTTGTTTAACTGTTGTTTTGTTAATTAAAAATCTATTATGTAAAAAACAAAGAGAAGGATTTCTCAATGCGATCGATCAATTATTCGTGTTAATCGATCGAATCGAAATCAAGCATGAATTGCACGAGAACTTCGCAAGATTTTGAAAGGAATACAGATTTCGTGATTATAGATCTTTGCTATTTAATGGCTTGATCTTCAATTAAACATCAATCGAGATCAAATACGCGCTTCAATATTATCCCATGGCGAAATTGCATCCGATTCCTGCTCATTGCAAAATAATCAGTCGTGATACAAACTATTGTATCATTCTTAAATTGCTGTGAAACCTTTGCTTCAACAAGAGGAGATCGTCGTCGCGGCAAATATAATTGATTCCTCAATATATTCACGCGAAAAAGAGAAACGTATTGTTTATCTTGGAGGATTAAAAAAACAATAAACTTTATACATGCATCTGAAGATGATTGTTGCGAGACGAGAATTCTTTCTTGCATATTACTTTGCGACTTGAAATACAGCGCTAGCTCTTGGAACGTCTACCACTTCCTCAAAAATTCACCCGACAACGATGTGATCGGTATTCTGGCCTTTACAGCGTGCTTAGCATACATTTTGCGATTTCTTTTTACAAGACGTGCGCTAGCCGTTACCTGCATGTTGCGGGGAATGTTGTTTGGGAGAGTTCATGTCTGGTGGCTCGTCACTGAAGGACACTGACTTTTCAAACGACACCGACTTGTCTGTAATAGATGTTGATCAGCATATTTTTGCGTGGTATATGTGCGTAAAAAGCGTAAGAAGCGTGTACGTGAACGTGTGCGTTCGGCTGGGAATTCGATAAAAGGGATGAAATCAGCGCCGGCTTTCGGAACACTTTTCGATTGAAAGAGTCGCATTTATCATAAGATAATAATTAAGCTGGCAACACATACAATTTCGTGTTTTAAGTTCAAATGAACTTTCTTACTTGAACCAATAAATATTCTAATTATAACGTTTCGCAATTCTATCTCTGAGAAGCTTCGCGTAATTGCTTTCGTAAATCACCCCTAAAGCCGGTGCTGACAATGAGTAAAACAATCGCGAGGGTGTCTCGAAACTTCGACGTGTGCACCATGCAAACGAAAATCGTAGATTGCAGAAACGTAATGCGTTATAAATTAGACGATAATACTTTCCTTAAGATGACGATTTCAACTCACGAAAAAAAAAAAAATTAACAAAATGACCGATTTGGATATTAACGGATAATCACGTTAGAAAAGTAGGACAATCTCGCGGATTTTAAAGATCGAAAAAGTTGGTGCCATTAAAGTTTGTCAATAAAAATATCGTACAATCGAAATCGTGTTTTACACGAGTGGAAAGATAAAATAACATAAAGGCACAAATATACGAAAGAGACGTGCAACGTTGACAACGTAAGATATAAGAGGCAATAATGCAGCGAGCATACGCAAAAATGCATATAATAAAGAAACATATGAAGCGCACCTTTGCCTAATTTTGGCGGTTTAACGTCAGTCCTTAAGTACGAGTCATCTGTAACGGCAGGTTGAGACACTTGAATTTTAAAGGACACGCGTTTTATTAACGGCAATAAAGATAGAAATGTTAAATATATATATATATATATATATAATATATATATATATATAATATATAGAAGTATATATAAAAAATAATAATTATATCTGTATATCGTATATATATATATATATATATATATATGTATAGAAATAAACATATGTAAATATATAAATAGCGGTTATACAGTGATTCGGAGGTGAATAGAAGATAGAAGAAGATGAAAGACACACCTGGCAGTGAGGCAGAGCTGGAGCTAGAGTGTTTGTCGAACTCGTCCCCGGCGCCTGGTGTGTGCATTAGTCGGAATAACAAAGCAGTTGTACAGCAAGGTTTCAGGAGAGTTCAGTCCGTGAGACTACATCGCTACGGGTAACTATATGCCGTCAAACCGAATTAGACTCAATAACTCTCGGGAACGATTCTCCGAGCTTGGTGTACGAAAATATTTGCTTACGCGTATTTAAGCTCGAAGAAGTTGATCACGTTCACGTTGATCGCGTTGATTCTCATTTGAATTATTTGACGAAATTTCATATTCTTTTTAATTAAAAATACTTTTTCGTGGGATTCTTTTCGTTGCGGTTCTCGTTAGAAATTGAATAATAGCGTCAACTCGGTCTTTAAATTTATATTGTGGTATAGATAAATGATGTGTAAAATTATTGTTAAAATCGACAACAGTCGAGGATTACTGTACAAAAACTTGTATTCATGAAATGTTATTAAATTCGCTTGTTATAAAAGCATTTTGTTTTGGTGGCTCTATTATATTAATAAAATATATTTGATATCACGGTATAAAATATTGATAAATGTTATATCCAAATATTCTATAATATTAATTCCGTTTTGAAACGTGCCGGGTATGAGTAATGGCATATTGTTCCTGGCGCGTAGCTCACGGCATAAATTCTTCCAATATATATGTATATCTGCATGTATGTAATGCAACACATATGTATACGTATGCACGTTTATATCTAATTTGTGTCATATCAGCGAATTTCGACTTATCTAAAAGGCGGCTACGACGTTTATCACTAATCGAAAACATACAAACATGACATCGATATTAAAAACTTTTGCCAATTATGGATACAAATTTTCATATTTATTTTTACATATTTATACAACATATTTATTTTTACCTCTATTTTCCATTTTATTTCTATAATCGTAATTGTAAAATAGATATAACGATATATGAGAATCATTTTTATTCAAGATTTTTACTTTCCATTTGTTCATATTTTGTTTTTATTTCTCATTCATAATTAACTAGATTAGAATAAACGTGGCGATTCTGCAAAAAAAAAGTCGACGTAGCTGCCTTGTTCGCAATATCTAGCTATTAACTATTGATTATTTATTTGCGGCATGATGATGTTACTAAGAACCGTGATTACGAGATGTCTGAGAGTGGTCGAAAGACGATGAAGTGGATAGATGAACAGGCACGGATGAAACGGACAAGATGAATATTAGTAGAGACTACTTTATATGGAGTGTCTAGCAGTCTCGTATGCTTCTTAGCTGAAACTATCTTTGTGAATTAAGTAAATGCGCTCTATATCTTCTGTAAAATAAGCACTGAAAACGTAGGAGGGAATAAACGGGATGGCATAAATCGCTAAATCGACCGTCATTATTCGGATCAAAAATCCCCCAAGATTGAACCCCAAGATCTTCCGCATCTACGCGGCTCGTCCCGGAAGTAACAAGAATGATTTAATTTATATAATCTCCCATCGAATATAAAAAAATTTTCAAGAATCAAATCATTCTCGCAGCCTCTCTGAGCCTCTCTTCTTAGAGATGCGACCGAAGGAAAAAAGAAAAAAAAAAAAACGTAGTAAACAACGTTACCGTGAAAGCGAAATGGAAGGTACTGAAAGAAACCTGGGGAGGAAACGAAATCGTGAATTTTATGGGACACGTACCTGCTGCTCTCGCGTAAGGATCACGTCCCGGTGGGACCTGCAAGTACTCTCGTGGCGACGGACTGGTGTGCGGTGCGTGTGTCAGAGCTTTCTGCACGAGCCCGGTCAGATTGGCTAGTTGTCTTTCCATGTGCTCCACCCTTATCCTACGGCAGATAATATTTGATCAGAAAATGGTACAGTTAATGCTTATCCTTGTTGTTTTAAAAAAACAATAGGACAAGACTTATATTCTCGGCGAACACGATGCTATAAGAATCATGATTGCTCTAAATTACGACGTTTTTCAGACAGTTTCATGCGCTAGAAAATGCGTGATAATCATATACAGAACAAAAGAAATCCTTTTTTTTTATATATTATATATATTACATGTTAATCAATTATTAAAATAACGTATGAAATAAACGAAAAGTTGTAGAAATATTAAATTTCTAAAATTTTTTTTTAATTTTTAAGAGGTTTTAATTTGTTTTGATTTGTTTCATTTTGTGCATTTCTTGAATAAATAGTAGATAAATAGTTCATAAGGTATCTTGATTTCTATTAGTTCCATTATCAAAGATTAAATCTGAAACTACTTAATTGCTTATGATGCTATAAAGATAATAATGAAGATGACAATGATAAGCTGAATGTTATATAAAACAATGATAAAGCGATAAAATAATGATATGACAAACTAAGGAAAAAATGAATGCAATGATATTAATCAAAAATATTAATAATGAATCCTATTTATAACAAGTATTCCTCAAATGAAGAACACTTTAATAAGCAAGAAGTATATCTTTTATTTCACTGAACTACTAATCATTATAATCTAACATTTCGGTATTCGATCTATAATATAGTAATAGGCCAAGAGACTTCATGTCACAACATACTACCAATAAAAAAAATTAGGGACTCTACGTATATCCGTTTTCACCGGAAGGTGAAATGCATGAAATTCTCTTCGGCATGAGAGAGATTCTCTCTTCACACGCCAAAGATATATGGTAAAATCTTCATTTCCGAATATATATATATATATATATATATTTCCTATCGGTGAAATCGGATGTGTTACATAACACGATGCTAATCACGTGCATCTATCGTTTCGCATGACAAGTGACAGCAGTACCCAATCTACGTCACTGTGTGACAGTACATAAAATGATATACAGGGTGATATATGTGACGCGCGGCGGATCAGGCCGGCTACGTGATTCTCATGGCGATTAGTTTTGGCTTTTGTAAAAATTGCGCGAGAATAAAGTGAGTTTGGATGGCCGACAAGTATTTAGTTCTCAATTTCCCGATATACCCTTTTTGCTCTACCGTGTAGTATCAATTCCGTCTACGAAGTTTTTATATAAGAAACATCGAATCGTTCGCGACAACTTCCGAATATCTTCGTGGCTAACAGAGATTTATCACAGATGTAAATTCTCGGCAAGAATAATTGCGTAATGCTTTCAAGATCTGGAAAATATCATTACCGACGATAACCAGCTTTACGGAAAGAAATAGCTCTTCCGCTGAAATTTGATAAAGTTATTATTAAATACAAGTTCTTTTTATATAAAATTAGTTTTTTTATATATAAAAAAGCAAAATAAAGTAATTTTGGGTTAATGTAAAATTAAGAAGTGATATGACAAAAAATGATATGATTACTATGATATGATTTCTATATGAATTGCTGAAAATAGCATTAAGGAGATAAATCGTTAACGATCTTGTTAGTTTTATTATGGCAAGATAAATATTGCCGAGAATTGCAGAGATGAATTATCTGTTATGCCATTTGTTAAATTTCGAAACACATTAATTAATTTATAAATTGTCTATTGTTTCTTTCGTAATTTTTTTCTACATGTAAAACACCCTGTATATGACCAATGTACGTTTGTCTACGATCGCTAGTCGGCATGCTGCATTCCACCGAGTTGCAAATTATACTTCTATGTATCATATAGATTCCTCGAGTCACATTAATTATGGCATATTTACACATATAATACACGCACATACATACACATACACGCATCTTGTTTTTGGAGCAATAGAGAGTATGATTAATTATATTACAAATAATATACGTAAAACAACCCAGAAAATATGAGCGTCGTAAATTAACATCTATCGTACATGACATGCAACGTATTCATTTTATCGTTAATATTTTTTGCGTAATTAAATAAAATTTTGGTTGAAAGAGAGAATTATACTGAAATTAATTGAAAAGCAAAATTTATATTTATTTCTCTTTATTGCTTATATTAATTTATATTTTCACGTAGAATTCAAATCAAATTGATAATTTTGGAAATTAAATATCTTTTTAATTAAAATATAATTCGATAAAAAATTAATTAAGAAATCACCTGGAAATTAATTTATATCTCTATATTATTCATGACATTACGTATATAATATATCGCTTGTAAAAATACTGTATAAAAATTAAATTTTGCAATGAATAACAAAAAAATTTTTAATATATTATTACTATTAATTAATATCTATAAAAATACATATTATGTAAAGACAAATTTTGCGAAAAATATTAATATTTTCCAAACGATATGTTAGTATATTTGAGAAATAGAAAAATATAAATTAATCTTTTTCGGAAGAAATTAGCAAAGATCGAACAAAAGTCACAATTACATATTTTTTCTTGTGATATATAAAGTAATTGAAATTTTTGTACAAAATGATATAAATTTGTAATGTTTAGTTTAAATACATAAACTTTGAAAATAAAAATTGATTATATTGATTATTTAGTGGACTAATTTAGAAGTCTTATTCAATAATACATTATTTTATAATTTATGCCAACTTTTAATCTCAATTAAAAAGTAATTTACTGAAAAAAGTAATAAGAATAAATTCCATCGTTTTCGCCTACATATTCGTTAAAATTGTACTATTGAGCGATCCAACTGTGCCTCGCATAAGAGATATGATTGAGTGATATTTCTTCCTCTCTTTCTCTCTTATCACTCAATTAAGATATCCGACATACTCTACAACATGCACTTGCAGACGATTCACTAAGAATAGTTCCCCTGCTTTACATAGAGAAGAAAATGGCAGCGTTCGAAAGAGAGTACGTTATTCATGATAAAATTTCTATAAACTACCAAACTTGATGAAAAAATAAAAGAAAGTTTTACAGACGGGAATCGTTAGGACTCGATTAGTCAAATTAACGTTTCACGAATATGAACGTTATATTTGTTTAATGATCGGATTTATTTCGGAGAGATAAATCTCACAGTTCTACAAACAGGTTTTTTTCGACATTTCTTTTTTCGAGAAAGTTTTGCACTGAAATGGCTCATTTAGGTAAACGTGAAATCCATTAAACGGTAAAGCTCGTAAAATATCAGTAATAAAATTTGTGAATATTTTTCACTGAATAAAAATGATAGGAACATATGAATAGCGAATGAATAATATTCTTATAATGCTGCCATTTCCTTTAAATGAACGATAATGGATATTGGTTAATATTGTAATTTTAATAGCTAAATAAATAGTAATTAAGTGGCTGAAAATATTTTCCCATAAAACGAATTATACGAAAAAAATTGTTATCGATCATAATATTTTTTGTACGATATTATAAATAATATAATAAACGTAAAATTATGTCGTCTCAGAACGGAAATTGAAAATAATTAAAAATTCTATATCTATAAATAAAAGAAACGATTTTTCAGCATTTCATATCACGAATTTTTGCGAATTATAAAATTAATTCCATGCGAAAAAAATTCCTTAAAATTAAAAGATTCACAAATAAATGATTATTATATATAATATAATATTTTATATTCCACGAAATCTGTTATAAAAAATGTAATAATATCAGATAACTAATAGGTTTTAATTTTTAATTGATTCGGTGTACAAAATTTTGAATTTTCCATCTTTTCGTTACGATTGAATAACCAATATTGAATAACCAATATCCATCTCTGTTTTTCAGTTGTGAATCCAAGTTGAACAGAATAAGAAGAGGAATCATCGAATTTTATTTCAGAATCGGGCAACGCAATCGCCTGGCAAGTTTTTAGCCAGTAGCTATGCCAAGAGATTTTTGCCAACGAGAATTCTGGATTCACTACTGTTCCGCTTTCAAAAGGCAGCTTGCTCGAAACGATGCTCGTGCAACTCGTATTCATTCGCAAGCTGCCTGCCAGCCAGCCAGCAGCCAGCCAGCCAGACAGCCACCCAGCCCGATCGTGACACGATTCCGGTTG